AAGTAAAAGTGAGTATACCAAGAGCTAAACGCTAACCACGGTAATTGAAAGTGAACTACTGTAATTAGCAGCTTCGTAACGTTTTCATCGAATACGAGTGAATTCATTGTGTGGAAAACTGCTGAGAAGGTATGCCAACAGAGAATTGGTAGAACCTTAATCCCACTAATCAAGGACGAGAAGTGAGTCGAGTTATTCGTGCTAAAAGCCTTAAATAAAACCGAAAAGAGTTATTCCAGGAAATAGAAGTGAATAAGCAAGAGGGTGGAACGTACGAATACCAAGTTTATTTAATATCTGCGTTGGAAGCAAATGAGAGGGACCAATCTCGGCGGTTGTAGAGCGAAAATCAGGTTGGAACTGTAAAAAGTGTAACAGCGAGATATGAACAATGGTTATCTGGTGGAAGGCTCGGAACGTGGAGAAAAGTGTCAGCCAAAATGCTAGACAAGTGAGCGCGAAGAGTTCTTCGTTTTCATCTCAAATTGCCAATCCAAATACTGTCACAATAAAATACATTGATTTGTTCTCCCATTTCACTGTACAACTGCCTAATAGGACGAAAAGGAAAGTAAGACGTAACCTTTATGAACATAAACTTAACATGGAATAAACAGAGGAAGAACTCGAGCGGCACATTCAATTTCCACAGATCAAGAGACTGATAATAACAGGTACAAGAGAGATTTTGAACACAGGCAAGCTAAGGGCACCCTAAGAAGGATTCTGGAAGAATGCAATACTAAGGAAGCAGCGCAAATACAGGTTTGATGTCACAAATACAACTGGACAAAATGTAGAAGAACGACAAGTACGAAACCGTACCATCCGTGGAATTATCCCAGTAACAGGAACTAGCTGTATGCAATCCAGCGCCACATTTCTGCATTATGACACAAGTAACTAAAGGCACAAGTTAAAAACGACAACCATACCAATGTATTTGAAAGGCTTTCCCAGTTTGGTCAACTGATTAAGAATTTGCTCGACGATTGTCGACGTCCACTGGGGCACTTTAGTGTGGACGTATGAACTAGAGCCAATGTTGTTTTCGATACTCTGCAAGATTTAGTGCTTAAATACCACATATCCACAAACCTCCTTCACAATATTTGTCACTTCATCAACGACAAAAGTTGTCTAAAAGTAATTAAAATAACATCAGCAAAAATACCTCTTCTGTAGCCTCATTGTCCATTGTTTACGAAAACTACAACCGACGACAACAGCTCAAAAGAAGCGCTTTAAGAAAGGGAAGTTTAAACGGCTACCAAGGGACTTAGGGCATAATAAAGGGCGTTAAACATAAGAAAACAGTCCCACTGCACTACTACACAAAATATTAGCTTAACGTCAAA